CGCTTATTTTACTGAAAACATAAATTTAGATGTACTTTTTAGCAATAATATCTACGGGGAAACTTATTGAAGATTTAAAGACAAGCCTTGCAGATATTTACTCAAAAAAATTATAGAAAAATAACTAATTTAAAGCATGACTCAAGCCTCTGCAAAATATCTAGCTGCATACGAAAATATCCTAACAGAGTTTCATGCTGTGACTTTGCAAAACTGTAAACTGGCTTTTGTCTAAATAAAGCATCTTTATACTATATCCACCGAGCAAGAGCAAGGTTACAATTACGTAGTTCATATCAAGCAATCACAAGAAAAATGAAAACAGAGAGAAAAAGGACGGAAAGTAAAACTAGCTCATTGACAAAATCGTTTCTTGTTTATAGGAAACCAGACACGCGTTCACTGTTTTGTTTTCTGCTGCATTTTCCTTAAAGGGTTTCCAACATCCATGCTTATAGCTATTTGGTCAAGTATATTTTATCTAGAAGTTTTTCTTTAAAATTGTGATCTTCATTTAGTAAAGACAGTTTACGAAACTCTATATAACAAACTGGAAGCTTCTTACTGCCTTCAATTTACCCACTGATTTCTGACCTTTCAAACTTTTTTACAGCACCTACCACAAATATATTGATGCGTTTAATGGTGGAAGAGTGATGGATGAACACGACTGCATTCTAATTCTGCTCACGAAAGCAGAAATACAATTCCAAGAAAAGCTCTTTTCCAACAGCCACTCCGAAGCAAGTAAGGTCGTATGTGCATAATCTGGCATGCATGCAAGTTTCTTTTTAAGAAGTTTGCATATAAGTGGCATTTGGCTGTCCAAAAATAAAGAATCATTTAAGAAACATGGACAGGCTGTATTTAGTGAAGAGAGAGAATGATACGTTCAAACAAACAAATCGCTACTATCGAAGATGCCCAGCAAATATGGCTCAATAAGATCGTTTGATGGAAAATCGAGAAATATTATGAAGGATTAGACCATAAAACCAATGTAGCAATGCACTTTCAGTAGTTGCAACTGAAAGCAAAATAACTAGGAAACACAAAGCCTGAATTCCAGTAAGTTGTTTCTTATAAAAGCTTGCACTTTGATTGAAGACCTAAAAATGTGCCATTTGAGCCGTATGCTTTACACTTTCTTTAAAATTGTACGAGCTTTTGTTGAATTTATTGTTTTCTTGATTCAGTTGAAATAGACACATACTCAAGTGGCTTGAGCCATCTTTCAATCAACAATTGACCAACCAGTGAGTCTGATACCCATCGAATGCTTATTGATGACTAATATTTATTGACAGTTATGATAATACTAGATCGGCTAATAATAAAAACCCAGTCGTTACTGCAAGAAGGTTGCAGAAACTGACTTCCAGAGGATCTTTCTTAGTTATAAGGACAAGCTTCTATTTTCTATATCATTAAGATGTAGTAAAGGTGACTTTCAAATAGGCTATTTCCATCAAATTGACTTTTAATGGAAATCTTGTTGATTCTATCCAGGTTTCAATTCGCATGGTTGCAAACATTATTAATACATACAGATCGTCAACCAATATAGATGGCAGGTAAATGTTTCCTACATTTCTGTTTCATCAAATATATGAATGATATGCGATATGATATGATATGATATGATATGATATGATATGATATATGATATGATATGATATGAATATGAATAATGATTATGATATGATATGATATATATATATTATATTATATATATTATATTTATTATCAGTTGTTCGTCGCAAATGATTTTCCATTGACCAAGTCTGCCTAAAATGATGGCTCTAAGCACACAAATGCAGGGAAACTAATTTCAGAATTCATAAAATTTCTACCTGGTCAGAAAACAGTAAATTTTGGTTCTAGATAAATATCACTGAAAACTATCAATTCAGTCCCTTACTTGAAATAACGTTGTAAGGGCAAATCATGAATATAACTAAGCACAAATGAAAAACGATACCTCGAGGCAGTTAGAGAATATCTCAGAAAAATTATTACTGTATAAATGGTTTTGAAAAGTTGCTCAATCCCATTTTAGTTTAAGCACCCAGGCTTACAAACAATACAGAATTATTAATCATACTCTTCCCAAAAAGATGAGGAAGGTAGGGAAGGCTTGTAAGAGGAAAGGTAAAAAGGAAGGACCAGAGTGCAAAATTCACATTTTAATTTTCAACAAACAAACCAAAGGAAAACATCACAATTAATACCTCGAAGCAGCTGAAGAGTATCTCAGCAAAAAATGTGTTGGAAAGTTTACCTTGAAATAAAATACAGCTTATTATTCATTTGAAGCATTAAAAAAATACTGTTTTATTTCATTGAGACATTGGGGGTGTAGATACAAAATGAAAAACTTTGGCTCATATGAAAAACGATATATCGGTTGATAGAAAGGCTGGTATATTTCAGCAAGCTTTCATGCAATACCTTGATGGGTTTTGTAAGGGAATATCATCCTAAAATTTCACAAGGCTGGTTCAACATGAAATCGTCCAAAATGCCTTCTATCTCATTGTATTTGGCATTCTTTAGATATAATATTGAAACACAATTGACTTTCCCTCGTTCTTTTTTAAGAAACTCAAGCTCAATTTCTTTAAACTAAAATATGCCGTAGAATTAATTCGCTAGAGGGGCTTGGCATTTTCTACAAAATAATATTGGTGCCGATATTGAGGAATAAAAACCATTGAGAAATATCATCGAAAACTTACTGGTTCAAGATGAATTCCAAATCTTTTGGCAACGGCAGAGTAAATAGTTGATAAAGTAATCGGTATTCCTGTGTGGAGTTTCAATACCTTGAGAGCAAATAAAGAATCATAGTTGAAACTTAATACCAAGACTCAGAAAAATTCACCAAAGAGTTACTGCAAACTTTGCCGTATTGCCATCTAGCTGGGATCCTACTTAATAACCAATATATTTAAATGATATTTGCTTGTTCCTGGATCTTAAATTTTCAGACGAAAATTGTTTTATAACAAATGAGGTTACATTTAAGGTTGAAAATCTTTTCAGGCTAAAAATCAAACAAATACAAAAAGCATGAAACACAAAATTACACTTTATTTTAAAGTTAAACAAACCTTGTCGATGAATGAATTGTTGACATCGTAATAAGAGCGGTTGTTTCCGTGAAAACCAAGTTCTTTGAATAGAACTTCATTAATCGCTTCTATTGTTATATCATCTTCACCGGGCAGTGGTTGTGCATTTGTGTATCTCTTCTTTACAACAGCAACTACAACAAAAACAGAGATTTGTTTGAGTCTACTTCACTTGGCTATTCAAGCTTTGATTGACTTCTCTTGACAATGATGATTGTCGTTTGCCGAAAGGAACTCTATCGACGTCAAAGATAGAGTAAGGTTGTTGTAAGTGCAACCTAGAAAGGTCAAAAAGTTACCCACAAAAGCCAGATTTAGATAAGGCAGACTTTTCGACCAAAATGTCCGTGCTGATATGTTGCTGAAGGCATATGAGCTGAAACAAGGCATTTGGATTTTTCAATAGAAGTAGGGATGAGATCCTCTTTTTCGCTTCAAAATGTTTGGTCGTTTATTTTGGCCAATAAAAATGCACTAACATTGTTGTTTAAGTAGAACCAGCTGAAATAAATAAATTGCGGTAAATCAGGCTCTGCAGCAGGACCCTTTACAGAACAATTTGCAATTCATCGGTGCCAAAAATTAAAAATTTGATAAGGAAAAAACTCAATCGGATAATCAAGCTCAACAGAAAAATTTTGTAGAAATCAACAACTGGAGCGCTGGGTGGAAATTGTATTAATCCTACTTCTGAGCTAATTTTCCTTTTTTTTTAATGCTCCTTGAGTAAATGTTCCAGATTGGTTGTAAAGCCTTTAGTAGTTAACGATTGAAGAACGATAGAAAATATGGCTAACAACAAAACTAAAACGAATCAACAAATAAAGTAGATTCTCTGTCAAATTCACAAACTCTGTCTTTTAATACTTCCTCCCTAGATCTTGTAAAATTGGAACACTTTACCCTCTTCCTCCTTCCCTAATGAATATGCCTTGAAAACATTTTTACCTTTATTCTCTACCAATGAAATTATTTCTTGCATGTTCTTTCTTATTTCCTCCTCATTGATTGTACTTAATTGACCACACCATTGTGTTACCAAAACTGCACCTAAAGAAATGGATTTGACTAATTTTGCTTAAGTGAGTGCTAATACATTAAAGGGTACAAAAGCACTTCTTGCAAATCTTTTGGATATAACAAGAATTTACATTGCTAAACCAATTGTTATAAAACTTGATCAGCATGATGATGATGTGACAAATAGTTACCTAGCAATAAATTTGTAAACTAAGAATCACTAATTTTGAAGAAAAATCACTAATTTTGAACTAAAACTCATTAATTTTGAACTAAAAATCACTAATTTTTGAATTAAAAATCATCAATTTATGAATCAAAATCACTAATTTTTGAATTAAAATCACTAATTTTTGAATTAAAAATCCTCAATTTTTGAATCAAAAAACACCAATTTTTGAATTAAAAATCATCAATTTTTGAATTAAAATCACTAATTTTGAATTAAAAAACACTAATTTTTGAATTAAAAAACACTAATTTTTGAATTAAAATCAATAGTTTTTTAATTAAAAAACATTAATTTTTGAATTAAAAATCATCAATAAGTAAGTAGTTTTGTATCAACACAAAAGTCTGCCAGGCAGTCTTTTAAAGCATTTAACTTATTATTTAGCATCGTAAAAATAAGCTAAAATGATACAAAATTTTGTTGAAGAACTAATTATAATCATCTTGGTTCTCCAGTATCATTTTGTAACAGCTTTTTAAAACTTATCATTAACCAACCATATGATAGAAATTTAGCACAAGGCTTTAAAAGAAGAAATGTAGAAAATTTTGAAATCTTGTTCCACTAGCTTAAACTTTTAGTTAATGACTTATTGCTTAGGAAACAGGATTCAAATTTAGATGACATGATATCACTTTATCTTTCATACCCTCAGCATACCCATCAAGTTTTTTTGCTTTTAAAAGGAAATGAATACCACAACAACATAAAGCAAATGTCCTTATTGCTTCCATTGTATTAAGCTACAGTACCTTCTAATAAACTCTGCTGTTCTTCTGGCTTTAACAAAAACTCACACCATCTCTTTTTAAGCTGATGCTGTCTCACATAAATATAAATCAATCTTGTGTAGTACTTCAGCGTGAGTTCTGTTGGTCTAAAATTAAAGAAACACAAATGATACATCGATTAAAGTGAAACTGTTAGAAGCTGGTATGTTAAAGGTTATCTCTTTGCAGTTGCAGAAAATCCTAGTAAATCTTTTCATGAACTGGGACAATAGAAAAGAAAGAATGAAATTAATTTCAAAGAATTCTATGGAAATAAATCATAAACAAGATCATTTAATTCCACAAATAACAATAAATTCAAGCAGCAATACCTCACTGCATTCATAATGCCATAAAATACATTTTCAATTTGTACAATGTCCTCTGCATCTTTTTTGTCACAATACTCTCCAAATTTGGCAAGGTCTTTATTCTCCAAACAATCTTTTTTAAAGGACCTCTTGATAATGGCATTGATCATTCTTCTTAAGTCTTTTTCACATATAAACCTTCGTTTATAAACATCCTTCCAGATACTGTCATAACTTGGCAAAGCCTTCCAGATTTCCCATCTGATATGGAAAGAACAATATTCAAGAGTGAGCAACACTAAGAATCTGGTACTTCTTATATAAAGATAGATATTTTCTATATACAGATAGTTATTTTCTATATATTATTTACTCTGGTTTTGGTCATACACCATGCTAGGGAACTTTCGCATTTCATATTCAAATGTAAACTTGATGAATTGAACAGCTATTGTCCCAAGTTCCTAATCAAAATGGTGTGCATGGCCCATAAACCGTGCAAAAAGACTTCTTTAGTTGCATGAGCTGGTGCACATTCTCTGACCTTTGATTCAGGTGCACACCAGCAAGGGCGCCTAAGCCACAGGTTGCTCTTTTTGCCAACTGCATGACCAAAAAGTGCCCTTGAATTGCTTAGGTGCTATACGATATGAGCAAAGAGGCGACCTTTTGAGGCAATGATCTAAAATGTTTCTTTTTGATCTGCTTTCAAAAACACCAGAAAAGAAATTCACAACAAAGGTTACTAAAAGGCGGAGGTGATGGAAAATTGGCCATGGGCCTTGAGGTTTAGGGCACTCGCGACGTTGTGAAAGCAATTTTTTAGACAAACAAAATTGTGCAACTTTTTAAACGAGTGCAAGTAGGTAACAGCAAAAAAATATTCTGAAATGAATTTTTAGGTAATTTAAACGGCATGGTCGCCAAAATTTGTTTGCTCACTTCGCTTGCAAAGGGCCTCCTCTTTCAATTCTGCCACAAGGTCTCAGAAACCTCTCAGTGGCACTATACACAACTAAGCCAGAAAAAATCTATATCATTGTAGCCCTGCTTTATGTAACAGCCTTTTTAACAATAATGGAATTATATGATTCCTTCTGCTCTCTAATTCTTTGTCAAGCAGATTGAGCCAACTTTTGAACTCTGTTGACGAAATTCTCTGAATTTTCATCTTTCAATACTTGTGATCTTTATAAGAAATATGTACTATGTAACATCAGTTATATTTGATTCACATCATACTTAGCGTTGGTAATTTAAATTAGGTGACTTTATTTAGCTTGAATATAGCTGCAGAAAAAACAGGAGTTATATCCAAAAGTTAAATCAAGCCATCTTGATCGTCATCAGAAATTTTTTTTGTTTTAATGTAAAGTAGGGTTGGGTTCAGCCACCCTTGATGGCTTGATGATTGATGTTGGGGCGGAAGGAGTTTTAAGAATGAAGCTTGACTGTAGTCTTGATTCAAATCTATTTTTCATTGGTGCTACCTTCATTTACAAAAGTCTTTAGGGCATAGCAACGCAAAATTTCCCTAGCACTGACTCTCCCTCCCTTGACAGGGCTTTCACCTACAATCATGAAGCTTCTGGTGCCTCTGCATACCAGATATTCCTTTATATTGTAAGAATTGCCAATGTTTTAAGTGCAGCTCAATGAGATGTGTTGACTTGACGTTCCTTAGGACGTGATCTTAAACACCAATCTCTTTAAAATTTTAGTGGTCTCAGGCCCTCTCAGTGATTTTGTAGAAATCTAAACTTTTGATTGTAGTTATCTATGTGGTGGAGGAATGTGCTGTGTTGTGCAGACCGCTGGTGTCACTTGTATTTCTAATAAAGTTAATTTTGACTGGTTTATGGACAAGTCTGGTCTGCCTGCTCAAGATATAGGTAAACTTTGCTTTAAAAAATATAAAAATATATGCAAAGTTAGAGATGCTGTTGTCCTAATTAAAGCCACAACTCCAACATACAACTATGCTGCGTCATGCACAAAATGTTTTGAGTTTTGAGTACTTCCTATGAAACTGGATTATGAACAGACCCCAGTTAGTGATAATATCCTTAATGGAAAATTTTTTTACATCAAGTTGCCTTTTTAATACTGGCATCTTGAGTGGAGAAACGACAATTATTCCACCAACTTGAGACTCAAGACAAAAATCGTCACAAGTAGGCAATCATCTTTGATGTCACAAGTGACATGTTCTTACCACAGATAGTGTTTCTCTATAGATACCCTTAAGAAAATGCTGCAGATAAATGTTTATTTTGTGCATGTACAAAAAACTTACTCTTCATTTTTGACATTTAATTTACTTTCTCAATGGATTAGGACTCTAGGGTCATTCCATATCAAATCATCAGATATTTTTAAGATTTGTAACCCATGGTCTTAGAATTTCTTGATTTTTTTACCACAAAGAGCCATTTTGGAGAAAACACCACATACAAAATTTCATCCTTATATCTCTTACGGTTGCGATTTTGTAGCCGTTTCAAAAGTGACCCATTTTAGCCAAATATGCCACACCCAGTTTACCAAGTGATGGGCGCGGCTTTCTATCAATAGCTGTAACTTTTCTATAGTTGTCAATATTTACTTGAAAATAATGTCAATTATTGATTTGATACTGTAGATTTCAAATATTGCATCAGAATTTGTCAATTCTCTAAGGTGAAGCAGATTGTCATATGTTAAAGGTTATCACTTGTTTTGAAAATATTCCCAACCGATGTATATAAATATTGAAAAAAAGTCCTGTAGCTGGAATCATAGCATTAGAAGCTTGCTATATTCTGAAAGTGTATTCTTTGGGCTATCAGAAAATGTTTAAGATTACAATTGCAATTGAAGTATTTTGAGTTAATTGCACCTTACAAAATGGGTATAATTTTGCAAGAATCGTGAGCAAAAAAAATTTGTATTTAAGGTAATATTGCATGAAATAAAAAATAGCTGCTAAAAACATTGAATCAATCATGATTTCAACATCGTTCGCAGACATTACTTGACAAAGGAATGTTGGATTAAATCAATTGTGAGTCCTCAATCGCGGGAGCAATCTGAAATAATCGAGTTTCTCGGGCTTTACTTG